CCTCCTCCTCCTCTCTCTCTCTCTCTCTCTCTCTCTCTCTCTCTCTCTCTTTCTCTATACTCTCTCTCTCGCTTGCTCTCTGTCGCCCTCTCAGAAGTCGCAGCTCCCGACACGTCGCACCCGGAGCTGTTTAATATGCATGCATGCACAGCGACAGATATTAACAGCACGTGGGACTTTTGCGCGTGCCGAGGAGTTGCGTTTGCGGATGGAATTTAGCTCCGAATTGCAACCTCGAACCCGCTTTGACGGCGTGCATCTGACGTCACTTCTGGAACAACGACGCGTCTCGTTTGCCGGTTGTCGGGCGCAATTGCTGCTGCTATAAAGCCAATTTTACATTTCGAAATGCGCGATGTATTGTGAGAATTATTTTTAGCTGCAAACTACTCTCACCGCGAGTAAGCTCATAGCACTATAATAAATATATAAGCCTTATCATAAATATTCTTCGTAGTCAAATTGACTTGAAGGGAGGAAGAAGGAGAGCGCCAGAGGCTGATCGAGTTTACAGCTGAGGATGACAGTAGAAATAGTTTCCATTTTACTATTATCCCGATTTCAAATTTTAGCCTCATGTCAATTTCATATAGTTGCATAGGTTGATTATTTATTAAGAAGATATTTAACTTATAATATATAAATTTATTAATTGTAATTGATTATGGGGAGAATGACTTTTTAAGTCTCATAATCCTTGCTTTGCGACTATTCAAGTTCGTACGAACCGCTTTGCACATCCGCCAATGAGACTTCCATATGGAATATTTAAATTATAAAGAAAAGTCAAAATCACCCCGTTATCCAGTATATACAGCTGCCTTCCCATGTTATTGAATGGAGGGTGAAATATATGACCTGGCTACAGAACGGAGTTACCGAGCATGCACGATCGAGATGCGAAATTGGAATATTGTTAGGTGCATGTTACGACTTTGGCAAGATCGGACGATGCTGTGTGGGTAAGATATAGCGATATGGGCCATAATGTGAATGCAATGACAAAAACGCAAAAATCACCCATAGTCTACGAGTGAATTTGAATAAGAAAAAAAGCGTCGGTTAAATGTTTATTGTGTTTGCATACATAAATTAAGATTTCTCCTAGAGAGCGAGTTTCTGTTTAGTTGAGTTTCGTCACATTACATAATAGCTGTATTTGACTTATCGGCATATATAGTGTAAATATTACATAATAATCATATGGACAGAGTCATAATGATGAAAATTAATTATATTGGATCATTATTCTGCACAATCATATGAATATTGTTAAAATAGAATATATTAATTTTGTCGTGCCGAATATATTGCTTTGCGAAATTTGCATATTAACACAATGTCGCATCAAATTATGGAATTCAATGAATTAACTGTTCAGTCCATAAATTTATAGATATTTGCATTGTTTTCTTTGTAATCTTAATCTATCTACCTATCTATCTTATATATATATATATATATATATATATATATATATATATATATATAACAGTAATCTAAATAATAGTATAATAGAACTTAGACATCATTTAGATGTTCACCGTTTGATTTTCGTTCGGGTGCCTCGACTCATGGACGCTATCGACACGAATTTCGATTATTTATAATCTCATTAATAATAATAAAGTCGTACTAGAACTATTCGTCGTTGAGGGGCCAGCAAGCGGTAATAGGTCTGTATTGTCCCCCCAGCGTGCCAGCTCTAAGGGTGATCAAGCCAGGGGGCTCGCGGCACCGCCTCGTGCAGTCCTCGTTCGCGATTGCGATGCGACAGATTGGCAGGCGATGTGCTCAATAGGGCATAATTAGTGGGCAAACACGACCTAATCCTGCCAGCTTTCAAGCAGCCATAATACACTTCATCAGGGTTAGGACGGGACGGGAGCGTGACCCGGGCGGGTATATCTCGCGAATAGTATATAGTGTCTGGCAGCAAGCATCCCCTGGCTTCGGAAATTGTGTCACCTCGCGACGTCCGCCGATAAAATAAGTACGTAGATTCTTCGCGTAAAAACAGAGAATATGCGTTACTAGTACGGCGTAAGACGTTACGGTGATGTGCGCTGTCGGTGTTTTACCTGGACGCAGGAGCAAGCGCTTTCTACCGAGAATGCAAAATGTGCGAATTTCGATGAAATCGCTGCTTCACGTTACTACAGCAACGTTATTGGTTGTTGTTAGTCGAAGGCGCGAATCACATGTAAAAGATTACAGGAGAACTTTTTAGGGTGTGCGGCGGCACCACGTTTCCTGCAGATGCGGTAATATGTGGATGACACACGTACGCGTTAAATCATCTATGTCTACATTTTAGCGAAAACCCAATGTGAGAGCACATACCCGCGATACGGAATAGTTTAGTATGGTATGGTTGTGAACATGGGTTAGTGAGTGTGGGAGTGAGTGAGTGAGTGAGTGAGTGAGTGAGTGAGTGAGTGAGTGAGTGAGTGAGTGAGTGAGTGAGTGAGTGAGTGAGTGAGTGAGTGAGTGAGTG